ATGATCTAATGTATGAATCATGCTGTTCTCCGGCTGTTTATAGGAGCTGCTTTGAGACAGATGCTGGTGAAAGCTGCATTCAGCCCGCCCCCCCCCCCCCCCCATGGTCTGCATCTCCCTTGGGGTGTGATGGCTCCGGGTGAAAGTGCTGAGTGTGAGCAGGGCGGGGCTCCTGCAGGAGAAAGTGACTTTAGTGTCTCTCTTTCCCCTGTCACTTTTCCCTGTCACCAGTTTTCCTTTTTCCCTAGCAGACCGTTGGGAGGTGAGGTGGTTCTCCAACCCCAATAAACAGGCCCAGTCCAAGATGGCAGGTGGAGAAGGGCCTCTCAGGGCGGGCTCGTGCCCCTGAGTTGCAGCAGCTGTGTAATCTCTTAATTAAAGTGAGCTCACAAGTGGGATTTCCTGTTCAAATCCAGCTTCCTAGCTTTGCTTTGTGTGCAAATCTCTCCATCTTTTTTTTTTAATTCGAAGGATCTGGAAATCCTCTTAATATTTAATTGGCTTTCAAATTATTTACACATCAAAGTGTCCCACCTGTTGTTGTCTTTTAAAGACCAAGTGGCTTATGGCGCTCCCAGCTGGCCTCCTGGGCCCATCACTCAGGGCATCATTATTGGAATGATCTGGGATAGGGGTCAGGATGTCTCTGGCTTGGAGACGAGTTAATTAGGTCCTGTGCTCGTCTTCCATCTACTTCCCAGTGTATTCAATATATCATCTTAAATCCTTTTTAAAAATCTCTTTTTTGGGGAAGCATCAGGGGGGCACACCTGGAAGTGCTTAGGGGTTACTCCTGCCTCTGTGCTCAGGGATAACTCCTTGTGGGCTTGGGGGGATCACATGGGGTGCAGGAGGTTGACAAGCATGCATCACAAGTGCCCTACCTGCTGTTTTATTGCTTCTCCTCAAAAAAAAAAAACTTTTTTTTTTTTTTGCTTTTTGGGTCACACCTGGAGATGCACAGGGGTTACTCCTGGCTTTGCACTCAGGAATTATTCCTGGCAGTTCTCAGGGGACCATATGGGATGATGGGATGCTGGGAATTGAACCCAGGTCAGCTGTGTACAAAGCAAACGCCCTACCTGCTATATTACAGCTCGAGCCCCAGCATCCCCCCCCCCCCCCAAGTCTTATATCCTGTTTGATTAAGGGAAGTATTGAATCATCTTTGTCCAATTCTCAGAAAAGGGTCTGAGCTTGAACTTCTTAGTATTATATAGGGAATTTTGTTTGATTGGGTCCACACATCACAGCCCTGGAGATCTTACAGTAGGAAACAAAAGATTCTTTTGCCCCCGATGCAGGTGAGACCAGGAGTTGTTTGCTGTGTGGTGTGAGGCAGCCTTGGCCATCCCCTGTGGGCAGCAGGGTGTTCCTTGGGCCGCCTGCTCTGACCAGATGCCCCATAACTGTGAAACCACGGGCATCTGCTTTATGCCATGGAGCCAGGGCTGGGGGGTGGCGGTGGTGTTCAGCCACAATAGCGCTGCCTGTGTAGTGGGTTCCGCAGCCTCCTCAGAGGGCTCTGTCACACCTTCCCAACCCTAGACCGTCCGGCCAGTATTTTTGCTCTTTGCCTATATGGGTCTCAGCGCCGCCTGACTAGTTCTGCAAATGCATTTATGTCTCCCCAGTAGCTTCAGGCTGCCCCTGTCCACTCAGAAGCCCCGTCATGAACCTCCAGAAAATACCCTTGTACTCGTTTCTCCCAGTGTGTGTGTTGCCTCCAGCCTCTGCAGGAGTGACAGCCTTGACTGAGGAGTGAGAAGCTGTGTCGCTCACCAGCTCTGGGCCCAGGCAGCTCGCAGGCCCTTTGCCGTGGCCGCTTCCGAGTGGTTCTGCTAAAGTGAGAGATTTTCCTCAAGCTTACCAAATGTGCATGCAGGCTACAACTGCTTCTTTCTTTCTTTTTTTTTTTTCTTTTTGGGTCACACCCGGCAATGCACAGGGGTTACTCCTGGCTCTGCACTCAGGAATCACTCCTGGTGGTGCTCAGAGGACATATGGGATGCTGGGAATCGAACCCTGGTCGGCTACATGCAAGGCAAATGCCCTACCTGCTGTGCTGTCACTCTAGCTTCCTCTACAACTGCTGCTTCCCTCTATTTTTTTTTCCTTAAAAAATGTTTGTGGGGTAGGAGGGCAGGTCACTCCCGCCATGCCTAAGCCAGTCTCAGCCCTGGGACTCCCACATGGTGCTCTTGCCCCCTTGAGTCACCACCCCAGTCCCATTTTTTAACCCTGAATGTGCCATATTTTGGACAGGCTCTTCCTACGGCATTTGAACTTGCCTTCGTTCCATTTTTAGAGGGAGGTAAGGCATAGATAAATTAATATTTGAACTGTAGATGTCTCTGGGGAAATGTAATCTTCTAGGCTTTACAAAGAAATTGAAAAGTCCACCTGGAGTTTGCTTTAAATCACGTTCAGTCCCATGTTCTCTGCCAGATCCTGCCGGCATGGGAGCCAGACACACACTTTCTGAGCCCGTTTCGTGAGGATTCAGAACCATGATCTTAGAATCATTAAGGTTTTGTCACCACTTTGTTGGGGCTTCTGCGGCACTCTTACCCTCTGGAGTGTTCTGTGTGTCTCTGTGTGTGTCAGCAGTGCTGAGTGCGGGGTGAATGGGGAGGGTCAGATCTGATAGAACCATAGACCTCGGCGGGGGCGGGCACCCATAGCCTCATACATGCCAGGTTCGTTCCTCACCCGCTGAGCTCTCCTGGGCCTTCACTGGAGTTCTGTAAAGACTCAATTTTAGGTTAACCACTACACCGGAGTTCGTCCCTTTCTTCCTCCCTTCCTTCCACCCACCCTCCCTCCATCCCTCCCTTCCCTCCCTCCTTCCTTTTTTTTTAAATAATTTTTAAAACTTTATTAAAGAACTATGAACCACAAAGTTATTGATAGTTGAGTTTTAGGCATATAATATTTCAACACCAATATCCCACCACCAGTTCATCTTCCCTCCTCCAGTGTTCCCAGACTCCCTCCTTACACCCGGCCCCCACCTGCCAACTTGACAAGCACATTACAAAGTTCTAGTGGATGCGGCTTAGATCTCACCTTTTTGGATACATAAGGCCACACCACGCACCTCTGCGGGATGCAGGCGTCCCGGGCACTTTAGGTTCCCAGCTGAGGTACAGCTGGCCTGGTCTCTAGTTTGCTTCCCGCTCAGCCTGATACCGCATGTGTAAGTTAGGGGACACAATGCAAAGTGCCATTTGTATGGGTAAAAATAGACAATGAGCTGCTATTTCAGGTTTCATTATAGGAGACCACTTAGCTAAGGAACCTAGAGAAAAATGTCGGCCTCTCGACCAAAGATCCCAAGAGTCTCTAAGCCACCATGCAGAGGCTGTTCAGAGAACCAGCTAGGGTGAGGGCTGCTCCTTTGTCAGACCCACACCTTTGCCAAGATGCGTGTGTGTGTGCGCGTGCGCGAGCGCCTGCCCCACCCAAGTTCAGTCCCACCAACCTGTTCAACAGCAGCTTCTCCCTGGGAGGAAAAAGACCCAGCCAGTGACAGGAAGCGGTCCATTTCCTTTTTTGGCGGGGATGGGGGATGTCAGTGTATGAGTCTCACCTGCTCATGCTCAGGGCTTACTCCTGGCTCTGTGCTCAGGACACCACATGGGGTGTCAGGGATCGAATTAGGGTCAGCTGCGTGCAAGGCGAGTGCCCCACCTGGCACCCTTCCCGCTCCAGCCCTGCCCCTAGAAAGTTTTAAATTAGTGATAGCGAAGTCCTGGTGAGTCAGCACTGATCTGTATGGTGACCCCTCACCGCCAAGTGAAAAACCCAGTTCTTTGGTCATCTTGTCACACTTCAGGGACTCTGCAACTCAGAGAACACAGCCGCTTCAGGGCTGCAGGGCAGCACCACTCAGAGGGAGCGCCCAGTGCTTTTCCGGTAGCAGTTGAGGGTGGACCCGCTGCTCCTACCTTAGGCCCTTCCTCGGGCAGCCGTGGTCACTGGGAAAGTAGAAGGCAAAGGTAAGGAGCCAGCGGGCAGTGGAGCCGCGGCAGTGGGGCTGCAGGCAGTAGGCATCCTTCTCGGGGCTCGCCCCTGAGGCCAGGTGGGCTAGAGCCTTCCGTGTCCCTCTCTGAGAACTCCCACTTGTCCCTTTGTCATTGGGGGAGGAAGGGAGGTATGCAGTGCTCAGGAGTCTTTCCTGGTGGTGCTTGGGGCACCATAAGCTGTGTTGGAGATTTGAACTGAGTTGGCCCAAAATGGCCACGTGTAAGGCAAGTCCCTTACCTCCTGACCATCTCTCTGGTCCAGAAAAATTTTGTTCTCTCCTTAAAAGGAAGTGGCAGGAGAAACTTAGCTTTCCCCAGCCTTCTTCCCCTGGAGCTCTTCTGAGGAGTTCTTCTGCATTTTCTCTCTCTCTCTCTCTCTCTCTCTCTCTCTCTCTCTCTCTCTCTCTCTCTCTCTCGTGCTCGCTCTTCCCACCGCCCCCTTAATTATTACTTATTTGTTCTTGCTTAGGCCTAGAAGCAGACCAGGTTTGGTGCCTCTGTCTACTAGGCCCCATAGCAAGTATAGAGTCGTTCTGAGCTGGCTTTGACGAGCAAGGTCCCATCAGGCTGGCCTGGGATACAGCCCAGTGGTTAAGCACATGCCTTGCATGCACGAAGCCCTGGGTTTGATCCCTGGCACTGCCTGCAAATAAGATAAGAAGAAACCAGGAGAAGCTTTTGTCAGCCCTAGCTCTGTGCAGCGAGGCAGGTGTGTGATCCACGAGCGCTGGCGCCTGCCTGGCACCCTGAGGCTTTTCGTTTGGAGCTTGTCAACAGAGGAGTGAGCAAGACAGAGTGGAAATATCTAGAGTGTCCCAGACACTCCCACCATGGGACAGGCAGCTCCCGGCAGCCAGGCTTCTTGGTTCTTTTTTCATCAGTGTTACTGTGGGGTCCCCGGCCGTACAAACTTTATCTTGGCTCTTCCGGGTGCCAACCACAAGCACATTTTCCCTCCCTTGGTGTCTGTAGGGATTTGAAGTTGGACGGAGGGCGACAATCAGCCGGTGCTGTGAGCTTGAAAGAGATCATTGGCCTGGAGGGCGTGGAGCTGGGTGCGGACGGGAAGGTAAGGTCTCTGACCTCCTGTAGACAAGCCAGTGCTGACTGCTCTAGTTTACAGCATACAGGATGGGGAGATGTAGGAAAAGGGGGGTGCCCAGGTCACCCTTGACCCCAGTGTTTAGAGAGAAAGAAAGAAATCAAGGCGGGGAGAAGAGAACGGGAAGTAAGGGGTAAACAGGCATCAGGGCTTGGGTTGTAGCTGTGACCTGGGGGAGGGGTGTAACCATCTATCCCAAACACAGACTCCACAACACTGAAAACTCTTAAGCTGCAACCTCTGGAACTTTGTAATGGGCCTGTCAAGGTGAGGGGCGGGGATGAGGTGGGAAGGGAATACAGGAACACTGGTGGAGGGAAGTTGACACTGGTGTGGGATCGGATCGTTGTTGAAATATTGTATATCTGAAACTTAGCTACCAATAACTTTGTAAATCACAGTTCTTTAATTTAAAAAATGATGGAGGTGGGGAGAGGAAAAAGAAAACCGGTACTTTTTTTGGGGGGGGTCACACCCAGTGATGCTCAGGGGTTACCCCTGGCTCTGCACTCAGGAATTACTCCTAGTGGTACTGGGGGGACCATGTCGGATGCCGGGGATCGAACCCGGGTCGGCCGCATGCAAGGCAAATGCCCTACCCACCGTACTGTCACTCTGACCCCCAAACAGCCTTGACTTTCAAAGGAAAAGAAAAAAAGAAGTGTTGATATTGCCAGGGCAGAGCGGGAAGTAGAGGCATCGAGACAGACCCCACCCATGGCAGGTGGAGGGAGCCAGGTTTGGGGCTGTAACGCCCCTGTGCCATCCCCTGGTGCCATGACACACCAGCCCAGCTGTGCTCCCCTAGGGCAGCCAGAACTGCACAGAGCCCCCGATGAAAGAGCTGCACTGGGTCCCCAGCTGTGCAGGGTGCTGGCCGGGAGGTGAAGCTGTCCCTGCTGCCGCCGGCAGGCATGACATGTTGGAGGGTGGGCCCCGCACTGGCTGACTGCAGGGGCTATCAGCATCCCCACCTCGCTGTGCTGTGGGCCTGAGCTCGGTCTTTCTCGTTTCGCTTGGAGCCAACCATCCTGTGAGCAGTGAGAAAGCAAAGCACTTCTCAGAGAAGCTGGTCGGACCTGCTGATATTCCTGCTGCCTCACTTAACTCTTCCACATGGGCTCTGTTGGAAGGAAACACGAGGCAGCTCAGGGAATGGAGGTCTTGCGCCAAAACACTGAATTTGGTGTTTCGCATCTCCCTGGATTTGAGAATTAAGGTTTCAAGGGTCTGCAAATGGGCATGATGTAGGGCTGTGGCCACCACAGTGCATGGCTTCCGTGGTCAGGGGATGGTCACTGCATGCTTCCCTCTCTGCCTTCCAGACGGTGTCCTACACACAGTTTCTTCTCCCCACAAATGCCTTTGGAGCCCGGAGAAACACCATCGACTCCACCTCGTCCTTCTCCCAGTTCCGTAACCTCAGCCACCGCAGCCTGTCCATTGGACGCGCCAGCAGCACCCAGGGGAGCCTTGACACAGGTGACATGGGCCAGGAGTGGTGGTGGGGAGCCCCCAGTGGGAGGTGCTGGGCTGTAAGTGCAGCTGTAGGTGGTGCTGAGTCCCAGTCCCTCTCTTCCCTCCCCCAGGAGAAATGCCACCTCCACCTGGCTGGCCTCCCGGCTCCCCCCCACCCCACCCCCTTCCCCTCCACACACACTTAGCTGTCCATCTCAGCCACTCTCCACTCCTGCCCTTCATTACTTGGACTTTTCTTCAAATAGATTGGCCAGACTTAGGTGGGAGTCTGTGATGGCCCCTTTGTCATGGCCATAGAAGGGGTCGGGGAAAGCGAAGTCAGCTGCCGAGGGGTGGACCCACGGCTCCCAGCCTGGCTTCTGCAGCCCTCGTCAGGCCGGATATGAGGTGATGTTTGCGACACTGCATGATTGCCGCCCGCTGACACAATCCAGAAGAGCTTGAAGTTCTCTGGGCCTGTCCCAAGGCTGTGGGTCTGGAGGCCCTGCCCGTTCCGGCCACCTCTGCCATGTACAGCCTGAACGGCGGCTGCGGTCATTCACGTCCAGACAGAGGCTAAGGTCTGCCCAGATGTACTGGCACCAACACGTGTGTCTCGAGGGGCAGACTTGGAGCCTGCTGGTGAGATGGCAGGCTTGAGTCGTGAGCCTTGGTGGGGTCCTGTTTTGTCACCGCGTCTCCTCTGGCCTGCTCTGAGGGGCTCTGTGTTCTCCCAGGGGTGGAGGGAGTAGAATGTGGAATTTTGTAGAAAGGCACAAGTGTCGGACTGTTCCTTCACGGGGCACAGACCTACAGGGTGCCCCCTAAATGTCCAGGACATGAGTGTTCATGCCTTCTGACCTGATGCCAGCCGCTGGGCCATTGTTCCTGCCGCCGTCACTGCAGAAGGCCTGGGGTCCATTACAGTCACTGTTGCATGTGCCCCGCAGGTAGCGAGCTCGGAGACCTCGTGGACTATGACCCCAACCTCCTGGATGATCCCCAGTGGCCTTGTGGCAAGCACAAGCGGGTTCTCATCTTCCCCTCATACATGGTGAGTCATCATGGGGCGCCCTCCCAGTCTCTGCTGGCCACTGCTTCAGGGCTGCCTCTGAGCTGGGGACCCTCCCTCCGAGGGGCCGCCTCCCACCTCCCTCCTCAGCGCTTGCTCAGTGAGCCGTGGGCGCAGGGCTCTGGGGGACAGAATTGCCTTCCCAAGGGGAAGGAGGCCAATGAGGGCGGCAACACAGAGCCTCCCTCCTGCTCCCGCCTCTCAGACGCCCAATTCCCCTTGGTGTTGTTTCGGGGCTCGGCTCAGCAGAGTCCCCATTCCCCACTGCCATAGCCCCCAGCGGAGTGACGGGTGGGGGGGCAGAGGCAGGGTGCAGCAGGAGGGGGTAGGACAGGGCGGGCCTCACCGGGCCCCTGGTACCAGACATGGCCCAGCACCCCCATCCCCACCCACCCAGCAAGGCTGGCACTGTCGAAAGCATCCTCCCTCTGGTGCCCTGTCTCTTTGCCAGCCTGTCTGTGCTCAGCCTCTTTTAGGTTCTTAGCCAGGGGGGGACCCAGTCCCCAAGAACCCAGAAAAACCTGAATGCTCCTAAGATGCTTAAAGCTCCACCTCCCTCATCACTAAGCTTGGCAAGTGGCTGACATCAGAGAGACACTGGGCAGAGCTCAGGCCGGTGCCAGCTCCGTTCAGCCTCTGCCGCCCTGTGATTTGGCAGAGAGCTTAGCGCTCTTTCTCGTCTGCCAGGTTGAGTCAGAATGAATTTGCAAAGACGTTTTTTGGCAGACATTCAGTTGAGAAGTGCCCCTGCTCCTTAATTCTCCCATCCTTCCTGTCCAACTCCTAACCCGGGTGGGGGAGGGGGTGGAGAGAGGTGGGGGGCAGGAAGTCATGCATAGTTGTGTTTTCTCCCCCTATCCTTTAGATAAATTGCTTCTTTTTAGAAACTGTCGTTGAGGGGCCAGAGAGATAATACAGTGGGTAGGGCACGTGCCTTGCATGCGGCCAACTTGGGTTGGATCCCCAGCATCCCATATGGTCCCCAGAGCTCTCTAGGAGTGATTCTTGGGGGCAGAGCCAGGAGTAAGGTCTGAGCATCCCCAGGTGTGGCCCAAAAATCGAAAAAAAAAATAATACCAGATTTTGAGACAGGGAAACCATACAGTGGGTTATGGCTCTTGGCATGCACTTGGCCCTGGTTTGCTTCCCAGCACCACACGTGGCCCGCCCTGTGCCCCAGGAATGATCCCTGAGCATAGAAACAGAGGTCAGCCCTGAGCACTGCCAGGTGTGACCCAAACACCCTCCCCCACCTAATAACAATAACGATAATGCCAGAGTTTGTTCCCATCAGCCAGCTGATCGTAAGTGGTGAATGAATGTCCGGAGCCCTTGCCGTGATACCTCAGGAAGGAGTTGCGGAAGGCATAGAGATACTTTGAATTGTTCCTCACCTGAGTTCACTTTACTGACTAAGAGACTTGGGCAGGAAACCTTGACAGGAGAGAGTCCAGCCAAGCTGGTCACATTAACAGACAGGAAGTGGGGGTGGGGCGTGGAGATCGGAGCCCCAGAGCTGCTCTTCCTGCTGGCCTCTGAGCCTCCTGTCTGCAGCCAGGGGGCCACTGGCCATCTCGGAGGGGCTGTCAGCACTCCAGCTTGGCTCGGGGAGTGTCGCTGTGTCTCAGCTGTCACAGGCCCCAGCAGCGCGGGCCGCTCTGCTTCTTGGCTGGCAGCGGGGGCCGGGTCAGCCTCGTTCTGTCTGAAATGATTCCTCTGAGCGCTGCAGACATCACGGCTACACACACAGGGCCTTCTTCCCCATGTGCAGGACCATGTGCGAGATGTCAAGCAAGCTCCAAGGACAGCTCCCGCCCTCCTGCCTTCTGTCCCCAAGTGGGTCATTTTTCATTTTGCCACGTTGGCTCTGCAGCTCATTCATTTTTTTTTTCTAAAAGGATGTGAAAGTGCTATTGAACTATATTTTCTTGGGTGGCTCCATGAGATCAACATCCCCTTCTATTCTGGCCTCGGCTGTTGGTACCTTTGATTCACTATAGGACTTCTGCTTCTCAGTGTTCTTGTCTAAGTGACAGGTGGGTTTATCAGGTGTTAAATGAGCATAAACTGGCTCCCAGGAGTCTCTCTTTTGAAGCAGGCACAGGTTAGAGGACTCTTTGCATCGAACTTGCATTGAACTTTGCATCGAACTTGCAGGTTTGAACTTTCAGGATCAAGGGTGAAGGATTTGACGGCTGGCTGGCTTTCTTTGATGTTTGGGTGAGAGGTTCAATCTTTCTGTCCCATCAGTATTGACCGAGGTCCTGTGTGTGCAGTTCTTCCAACAGACCCCTGCCTTCCTTGACCTCATGGGGGAGTTGAGAAGTTAGGCTCTGAGCAAATGGCAGACCTGTTAAGGAGGTGAGGAAAGATCCTCTTAGAAAGATGCGGGGAGATGACATGGAGGTGGAAGATGGTCATCAAGAAAAGTTCCCGAGGAGACAGCACTGGAGTGAACTTGTAAGGGCAAGAAGAGACAGTCAGGCCAGGCTCACTAGGGGGCACCTTCCTCTGATCTTCAAGGATGGAAGAGGCTCCCTTTGTGTAAAATCGGCGTTTTTTCAGTCATTGATGTCATTTTTCTTCCTTTCCGTATGTATGCATGCATGCACACACGAGATATGGAACATCAAACCCTAGAATGATGATTCTGAAGCATGTACAGTCTCTCTGTCTCTGTCTGTCTGTCTGTCTGTTTCTCTCTCTCTCTCTCTCTCTCTCTCTCTCTCTCTCTCTCTCTCTCACACACACACACACAAACACACACACACACACACACACACACACACACACACACACACACACACACACACACACCTCCCAAGTTAAGATGCTGACAGCTGACAGAATGTCCTCTGGAACTCACCCCAGGTTCCAGAGCTGCCCTGGTCATAGGCCCTGACTCCTGAGCTGGACAGATTGAGCTATAGGGTAACTTGATCCAAACTATTGAAGGCTTCTTTGAGGGTGTGGCCACACCTGGGACCCTATACTGGTCTGGTTGCTCTGCCCAGAAAGACCTGGCTTGTGGCATGCTTGTTTCCAGGTGAGCCCACATAATTGATAGAGCGCCCCCTGCAGGTGGAGGTCAGACCTGTGCAGAGCCCCTCCAGCCCAGCTCTGCACAAGGCTCCCTGCTACGGGCTGTGCTTGGAGTTTAGGGAAGGAAGCTGCAGGAACTTTACACGCTGGTCTGGTCGCATGCACGTGGCTGCCCACTTCCCTAAATATTGACCCCCCACGACCTCGGGGCATTTGCTATCTCACAACTCTTTCTAGCTCCCACATGTACATAGTTGGGCTGATCTTAAATTAGGCCAGCCAGACCCAATTCGTGGACCAGGGGCTGTTGTTCTATTTTAGGGTATCCTATGGCTGTGGCATTTCAGGGTCTGAGATGTTCATGTGACTTCCACAGAGAAAGTGATAAACTAATCCTGCCCCAGACCTGGGTTCCATCCTGGACACCAAATGGTCACCTGCACACCTCTGGGAGTGACCCCCAGTGCAGAGCCAGGAGTAGTGTCTAAGCACCTTGGCGTGTGGCCCTCAAGTCCCCCAAAATATTTAGGACAGTTTTATCCCTTACAAAGTTCCCACCTGCCTCTCCGAATCTGCCTTCACTTCTTCCCTTAGAGTGATTGCTATTCTCACTTCTGCCAACAGAGATGAGTTCCAGCTCATTGGGAATTTTATAAAGAGAGAATTATATATTATTTTTAATTGAAATAATTTTGGGCTGGAGAGCACAGCAGGTAGAGTGTTTGCCTTGCACGCAGCCAACCAAGTTTTGATTCCTCCACCCCTCTCGGAGAGCCCAGCAAGCTACCGAGAGTATCTTGCCTTCACGGCAAAGCCTGGCAAGCTACCTGTGACATATTTGATATGCCAAAAATAGTAACAACAAGTCTCACAATGGAGATGTTACTGGGCCCGCTCGAGTAAATTGATGAACAATGGGAAGACAGTGACAGTAACAGAAATAATTTTATTGATTTATGATTGATTTGAAGTCAGTAAACTGTTAGAGGTAGCTTCGTCTCACTGTATGTCAAACATCCCCACACATCACAGACTTCTACTGCCAACTCTTTATCGAGATACCTCCCTCTACCCATTCCTTCCATTATCTCACTTTTCCATTCTGATAGCAACATTTTTTTCTAGAGTCTAAAATACTGTTTTAACAGTTTGCTTAGATTTTTTTTCTTTTTTTCTTTTTGGGTCACATTTGATGATGCTCAGGGGTTACTCCTGGCTCTGCACTCAAGAATTACTCCTGGTGGTGCTCCGGGAACCATATGGGATGCCGGGGATCAAACCCGGGTCGGCTGCGTGCAAGGCAAATGCCCTACTCACTGTGCTATCACTCCAGCCCCTGTTCAGAATTTTTATATACACATATGAGTAACTCAATCCAGTAATTGTTTCTTACTTCCTGGCTTTTCTATGAGCCAGGAAGTAAAAAAATATGTCAGTATCTATTACCTCAAGTTCTATCCATGTTGTTTCAAAAGGAACAACTTCTTTATCTTTATAACAGCTGATTGGTATTCCATTGAGTTCCTGTACCACAACAGTCAACAGTGGATGGAATACTTGAATTGATTCCATGTTTTGGCCATTGTGAACAATACTCTATGAGCACAAGTGTGCCTTTAATCTTTAGAATTGGTCACTTACCTCTTTCAGAGAAGTCCCTTAGAGAGGTGTATTGAATCATATGAAATTTCCATTTTTTGTTTTTTGATGAATCTTTATGCCATTTTTCATAGAGATGGCACCAGTTTACCTTCTCAGTAATAGTGTATAAGAGCTGCTTTTTCTCCATTTTCTTGCCAACATTTTTGTTTCTAATTCTTTCCACATAGGCCGTTCTCATGAATGTGAAGGGCTATCTCATTGTGGTATAGATTTTTATTTCCCTAACAATAAGTGGAGTAAGGTTTTTTTTCTGTTTGTCTTGTTGTTGTTCCACACCT